TTGAAGCCGTCATCGTGAATAGCTGGAAATGAATCTGGTTCCGGAAGTTCTCGAGGTCCTGATGCGTCATTTCCTTCCTCTACTTTTGATTTGCCCTGAACCTTCGCTTCCTGAATGGGTGCAGCTTCCATCAACGAACGCTTTAGTGATGGTTTTTGACCATACAGTCCTTCCAAGGAGAAGTTGCTACTCGAGAAATTGTCGCGAAAATGAGGTTGTGACTTTGCTGAATACATAGGGTGCGGATAATTTTCTTTTCCTTGAGATTGAGGGTTCGTGAATGTGGTAAATAGTGCCTTTTGCGGGGCACTCTTATACTTGGTTTGGAAGGTTTGTTTTTTCGCAATCGAGTCGGTATTGTGTCGTGATCCCGCAGGTGGTGGCATCGGCACCATGTTTAATTTATTGCCGAATGGCGCTCTTGAGGGCGAACTTGACATTTGGCTATGCGATTTGAGCGGTGAGTGTTTGCTAGGTCCATTCTGAGGTGGGTTAAAGATGACGTTCCGCTTCGAACCGTTCTTGATCGTTCTCAAGGGCGACGCCTTTTTTTGATTTGAAGAATTTTTCGTCGACGGCATGGGCGCGCTGTCATAGGATGTGACGGGATCTTGATATATTTGCAGCGGCTGCTGCGTGTAACGCGACGAAGACATTGTGAATAGTCAACGACGCGCTGATAAGTCGATATGATCTCTTTCAATCAACGCGTGATCCGATGATGTGGTATTCCTGAATAGGTATCGATGTGTGTCAAAAGCTGGAGCATTTGATGTTAGTTAGCCCTATGAAAAATATGTCATTCTAGGAGAGAAAAAAGGCACCATGGGATAACGAGGACTATCTAAAGGCATGCATACCGGGAGTGGGTGCTCAGTGTGTGCTGTCCAGGATCGACGACGGATCGGATTGTGGAGCGAGATTACGGTGGATTCCAAGTTTGGAAAAGCGAGGACGCAAGGGAAGGTGGTCTGGATTGCTACCACTAAAATCAAATTGATTGCGAAAAAGATGGCGGTCCCGTGTGCGGCGGGTGAAGGGGTAGAATCGAAAAATGCGACTGAAGCTTTTGATAATATTGAAAGATGGTGTGGTGGAGTTGAAGTTGACGATGAGACGAGACGAGATGCAGATGTGTTGAGATGTCGTTGCTTTGTGTGGGGATAGATTGTGGAACAACAACGAATAGAAGGAAGAGAACGGAATCAAGCACAAAGTTGCGGGAAGAAAAAGTAAGGTGATAAAGGAAATGAATCGAATTGTACGAAGGGCTGAGTGGGGAGAGTAAAAAGAATGGGAATTGCAACTTGTAAGACGGCGATATGCCGAGCACGAGAAAAAGAAGGTTATGATGTGGAAGCAAGGAAGTGGCCCGAAAGTATGCTATGCCCTTGTTAAGAAAGACCGGCTTGAGCTATGCTTCTATGGTATGGGTACCTTGGTGGTCGACCTGAAAAGGTCTGTGTGGTATGACCGTGTGATCCTTCTTTCTATCGGTAGAATAGCTGCTTGATAAGTTGATAGAAGCCAAAGAGGAAAGGTCGAGCTAGATAGTAGATAGTCGATAGGCCCTAGGGAGCTCGATAAGGTTGAGACTCGTTCGTTGAAAGCTCTTTTTTATTTCTTTTGCGATGAATCAAAAGTCTGGAGAGATTGAATCTGGCTGATAATCTGGCCGACAATTTCACCTACCAAAGTAAATAACTGATAGAGTTACTCGAGTAGGGACCGTAGGGACCGTAGGGACAACATGTATGGAAGCAGGGTAGGTAGGGGTAATAAGATTTACTCCAATCGTGGTACAATATGCAAAGTCAAAGAAAGATCAAGATGGATGTAGCGAGCTAACGATGATATTCACAGAATAACAAGCTTTCTCTTTCTGGATGCATTGGATGTAACACTGTGGCGAAGATGCGCGAGAGATACTGTTTGGTTGTTGTACGTTCTCCCGATGATATGAGGATGGTACAGTGAGTGTACCGAATGGTGTCGAATTGATTGTACGGGAGTGAAGAGGTGTGAGGATTGATCTCTGGCTTCTTAGTGGTACTGAGAGGTGTTCCTGTAATAGGTTTGATATGGGATCAATAATCGATTGGATGAGAAGTGGTCTCTCTCTCTCCTGCACGTCTTCAAAAGTGGTGGTAGTGGTGGTTCAGATGTGGCCAACTGGCCAGGGCGTTTTGAATCTCTGGGGTGTTGGCGCCACGGATGGATAGAAATGATTTTATGAATCTTTTTTATCCAGTCGTAGATTTTTGAGATTTTTAGAATTTTTCGAAGTTGTTGGATTGGATTAAAATTGATCAAAAGTGGAATCTGGAAGTCGATTCTAGGTAACAATTTCCCCCCTCCGAAGGTTTTTTTTGTGGAATATCGGAAGAATTGATTAACACGGTAACTTAAGTAAGGAAGGTCGTTGTTGGTCGCAAGGTTGAGTGAAGATCCCTCAAAGTTATGAAGATGATGATGTGATGATGTGACGATGTGAATCTGATGCGGTCAAAGAGGAGGGGAAGATGGTAATGAAGAGGGGGAGGGGAAAAACGATGGAAGAATCGAGGTGATTCGCGACCGAAAAGAGTTATTGTTTACATTTTCTAGTAACGCGTTTTAGCGTGTTTTTATACTTTTACTAGGTAGATAATAGTAAAGACTGTAAGAATTAGACTGTGAAGGCTATAAAGACTGTGAAGACTATAAGACTATAAAGACTATAAAGACTATACAGACTATACAGACTATACAGACTATACAGACTGTAAAGACTGTAAAGTAGACTCTAAAGGAACGGAACGAAAACCTTGAATTGATACTTTTAGTCTTTTGGATACTCAACTACCTGGTAGATACCGGTAGATGCTAAAAACATGCGAACGAGTGTGTCAATCTAATTCCCTCACAATAACTTGTTCTATATAGATCACAGTAGCTAGGTGTTAACTACCTAGTGCCTACTAACATTGACTAACATCGACTAACATCGACTAATATCTACAAGTATTTCATGCATCTAATGAGATGAATATACTTATCAGGTACGGAGGTAAGTAGATTTTCGCTGAAATCACCCACTTCTCCCAGCTTCAATCATGAAGACGAAGATGAAGATCTAAAAATATCCACCATGTATTCCTTCGTACGCAGCTAGACTTTGTGACTTCCTCCCTTCCTCCCTTCCTCCCACCACATCCACCTCGATATCAGCTCAGCATCTCGTAAACCCCATACCTTACCATGCCAACCCAATCTAACCTTCTCAGAAACAATCTGCACCCCACGGTGACGCTGATTTTCCTCTCTCCCAAGTCCTGATGATGATCCATGATCCATCAAACCATCCATCCTATCGATAAACCATCCCCCCAAACATATCCAACCATATCGCACCAAATCCCACCAAAACCCAACCAAATCCATACACCCATCCCAATCAAACTTATCAGCGAAAAAAGCTTCAGCCCTCCAATCCAAACCGACCAGGTACCGATACCCAATTCTCCCCCCAGTAATCAGCCACCAAACCCGCACCAAACCCAACTCATCCAATTTTAAAATTACATCGCGTACAACACATCGTGACGTGACGTTTCCAAATTCACTCTCACCACTTCCATTCAAGGCTATTCCCAAAATCGTTTGGCTTCATTTCTGGGCTTCGATTCCCTTTCCCCCAATCTTCTCCTCACATGCAAATCGATAATCTGGAAGTCTACTCTACACTCCTGGACGCATCCAATGATCCATCCACCTTTCATTTCATCCCTGCTTCCATAGGTAAACGATACGACCCCTCTCAATGCCTCCCGGTACCTCTCCTTCATCCACCTCGTACCCAAGTACCTACATCCATCCCATATCATATTCACATCAAAGTATATCAATGCATTACTGACCCGCAAACCGCCATAGCCCAGCACACCAAACACTCAATCCCAACATCGAATTCGCCGAACTCTCATCGCCAAAAACCTCCGGTCAACCCGGTCCTTACATCCCTATCCCTATCCCTATCAATATCAAAATCAATATCAAAATCAAATCCCATCACCATCCATCAGCATTCCCATCACCCTCTCCCAAGTCCCTTCCCATAAAAAAAAATAAAAAAAATAAAATAAAAATAAATAACACCGATATAATCATTATGCCTTATACCTTCCCTACCTTATAGATCCCACCCAAGATCCAACTACCAACTACCCACCTCCTACCTCCTCCCTATCTATCTCCGATCTATATTACATTCATCTTCTTCCTTCATAGTTCATACCCACAATCCCCATCCATCGAAGAAAAATCAGAGTAAAAAAAAAAAATCCTCATAGAAGAAAATTTTCCTTCTAGAAGTAAGTGGGACTGACGGATGCCAGACAGACAGATGGTCCATCCCAGGACCCAGGGTAGATTGAATATCGAATATTGTATAAGGTTATTATTATAGATGATAGATTGCAGATTGTAGATGTTTACAAGATACACCATGTACATACCGGCACGTGCGAGGTAGGTAGCGAGGTCAGACAATACACCAGGCAGGACATAACTCCCCGGATAGTCTTCGCCGAAGGAGGCGCCCTACCTACTAGATACCTACCGATTCAAATGTCTGAAATACATTCATGCAATAATGTTGATTTGTAGACAATCCTCGATTCAGTTACCAGGAGCCACGATGGGCCGAGAAAAAGCTCGCGTATGTATATGTATATATCTTTCATTTGAAATCACATGGCGTGAAGAGGCTGGTTAAACATCATGATCATACACTTCGTGTAGCGTTTCAGGCATATATCGCACAAAGTCTATGTATTACAATTCATGGTGATATAAAAAAATACAACATCATACAAGGTCAGTCGTCCAACAGCCTTGAATGTCATTCGACTCTCCTCATCTAGAGGTATTTCAAAAACTCAAAACCCAAAAGTCCCATTTAAATCAGATCCCGTTTCTTTTACGCCCCCTATGCTACCTTATCCTGGTTTGAAAATTCCTCAAATGCCGCTCAACATGAACACTGTACTCAACACCGCTGCTCCAAATACCAGTGTGTGTGGTATGGAATTTATACCCCCAATCGACTGATCATGCACAGCACCGGGATAGTTGCACGTAACTTGCCCGCTCTGATTTGCCGTTCTATGTATGCCATAACTTGTATCAAAGCCCGTATCGCCTGGGAGAGGGCATGCGAAACCCATAATTGCCGGACAGGCACGAACAATTCCATAGCATAAATCATCACAGGGCAAGATTTCCTTGTAAGGCCCTGGTTGGACTGTTGTGGTGATGTCTGGATTTCGAGAACCGTTCGCAGGCTGTGAAGAGCTCGCTATGTCAAGTAGCTCCGGGCTAAGCATTGTCCCGTTTGGAAATGGTTGTCCCATACCTCGTTCTTGTAGCCACGGAAGATCGTTTGAAAAATCAGTACATCTTGGTATCGTCACCGAACAAAGCCATGCCTTGTACGCTGCATCGCAAGACGTGCAGTTTTGAGCTAGAGAATACTGAGCAGATGAAGTAGTATTGCAAGGAATCTGTGCCAAAGCCTTCTTGAAGTACTTATAAGATTGGTAGGTTGAGTTATCGTACCATTCTCCAAGAGCTGTAGTGTTTGGAAATGTATTGGGATTTGCTGGAACGGTCCAGGCCACTTGGTCGCAGAACGAGAGATTATACACGAGGGCACAGTTATCGGCTACGTGGAGAGTTAGTTCAACAATCAATCTGCTTCTATCAAAACCACATACCTGTAATCGTGGAAAAGGTCATAGCTTTCCAGACCTGTCCACCACCGCCTACTCCCTCGCGCCCAAGCGCAGTTGCATTGCCGTTCATTGCAAGAATACCATAGTAAGACGTGCCCGCAGTCAACCCATCAAAGTAGAATTGCTGCTTGGGAGCATCAATTTTTCCTCTAGTAGTCATCGACATTTTTATTTTGTCGGTTTTCTGACCACCATTGATAGTTCCTGCTATTTCGGCCTGCTTCTCCAATCCACAATACGAATATTGCAAACCTGCTGTGGAAGAGTTGATCGTTTTACTAGCAAACATAGTGAAAGGTGGTGCCAGATTAACCCATTCCTCATATATTGAGCCGTTATCCGTGGTGAGATCGTTGGTAACCAGAAGGGCTGATGCGCTATCACTATCTACCAGGACGAGATTCTCTTCATCGCTGTGGTAATAATGGTATGGTGCATCGATGGAAGCTGCAATCTCCGCATTCCACGCGCCCGTGTAGTTCGAGGTCATATTCAAACCGGTCAAACCGATGAAGACATCTCCAGTAGCATTCAAAGTGACCATTGCAGCGCCGCCTTCCAATTGGTAGGTTTGTTGTAAACTGTCATCCTGTCCGGGTCCAGGATTCTTATTCTTTTCAGACTGTGATATGTAAAGATTCAACTGCGAGGGCGCCACCACATTCGCGCCTACAGCCTCGGGCTGTGTGCAAGTATTGACCGTAATATATAGCGTCCTGGTACTTGAGGAGCTCGACTGCCGAGGCTGCAAAGTGGAATTTTGTCTCCTGTCTTCAGACAGAATCTGCTCCCCATCTTCTCTATTGCCAACGCTCTCAGTGTCTCTTTTACGCAACTTAACAGGGGAGGGTAAACCGCTTGCTTGTGGAGAAAGGGCTCCCCATAATGAGGAGTTTAGGAATGAAAACGGTATCGTTTGCCCCTGTTCAACATTTGTCGTTACAGCCCGATTGTTGAGTAATGGAGTGGGATCAGTCGCCGATGCAACCCTCCCAATTATGCTCCGATCGAACCCTACAAATTCGGCTTCATATCCTTCGTTCCTTATTTCTATATCCTCCTCTTCACCATCCAGGGCCAACATGTTTATATCCATTAACCTTTCGTGATTATGGTCTTCTGGTTGTATCGAATCAACATCGGTGGCGTATGCAAAGTGAGAAGATGAAAAGGTCAGATATAATATCAGAAGCATTATTGATCCCATGAGGGATGCGGCCAGCCGCGATTGCAGCGGACTGAGCTTTGGCAGAGGCATTGCGATGGCGGTATTTGTAAAATGCCCATCGGAAAGTCGCAAAGCTTGTTGTTCGAAAGTTTAAGCATCAATTTCTATTCGAGAAGATTCGACATCTGGCGTCTGGTATTCATAATTGCAATCAATTGAGTGTTTAAAGAATGTGGTTTGTCCTACGAAAGGTTGTTTGAGATAGTTTTGGTGTTTGAGTGAAGTCTCAAGCTCTCGGTCCACCAACTGTACCCTGATGTCTTGGCCAATGATAGAGTTTTGTTTTTAGTTGATCATCTCCAACTACCCCTCTACGTGGTACTATATTTTATAGTTTACAAATTATAGTCCAAGTATGGCAGTTGTGGCAATCACGATGGTATGCAAAACAAAATACTCAAGGGCCAAGATACAGATTTACCTCTAAGCATTCCGGTAATTGTGAAGCACGAATCTTATCAGTCTCATCTCCTCATTTTCATATCATATGTACCAACTGAATAAACTAGTCAACGATAATATCCTCTACCATATACCCCAGCAATCTGAACCAACAAAGAATTACGAGAATCTTGATACGTTTCAGGTCATATCAACAGAGCACCTGAACTATCCCATACATGATAAGGAATTCGTTGCAATGTTCCCCAGCATCATGGTTGGCATTTGCGACTCCACCTTCAACGTCCACGGCTCAAGACACCACCCCCCTTATAGTCTGACGCCTACAATCTTCATTTGTGACTTTGTGCATGTTCCCACTATTCCACCCATATATTGCTTAGGTGAATGAATTCGGCAGCACGATAGTGGTACACGCTTGTTAGTCCATTACAAGGACTTGTCTGCGCTGGCGCTGACCTTGGAAGCTCCAGAGAAGTATCTGGAGAAGACTGGTGAAATGAAGGAGCGGAATACAATTTGGGCACCGCTATTACAAATTATTAGTGATGTTCTAAGGAGACATGATTGGGTCCATATAGCTCTTACCTGGTGATTGGGAGTGCGAGCCACAAAACAAGGATGAACTTGAAGGTGTAGTAGAAGGGGAACCAGTAGACAACGGTGAACACGCTCTCAAACACAGTCAAGAAGGCAAATACAACCCAGTACTGAATATACACATTAGCAACGGCAATTGAATATCAATTTCGAATTATTTACCGTGAGCCATTGAGTGTCGTCCGTTTTTCCAGTGCTGAACAAAGCATCCAAAGAGTAGTACCCTGGAAGAACAAATCCCGCAAGGTTGGTAAGAAGCTGACCTCCGATGTTGAAGAAGATGAAAAAGAAGTAGAATGCAATAACACCCAAGAAAGCGTAGACCTTGGGAACGTTGCTTTGCTTCTCGAGGTTGTTCAAGGTTGGGTACTTGGAGAGCTGAGTCCACAGTTAGTCAAAAAGTCCATACATCAACGCACTTTCAGCACATCAGTCGTAGCCAGAATCGACTCGTTGTCGGTTTTCAAGTCCGGAGTATGCGGGAACTTACTTCCTTATCAATTTGGGAGATGGTTCCCTGAACTTTGTCTTGGAACGACATTTTGGAAGATATGTGCTACGAAGGGTTTCTGAGGATTGTTGAGATGTATGCAGCTTTTGCGAGTGCAAATTTCGAGGAGCTTATTGTTATTTGTGTTGTGGGACAACTTTGGAGGAAAGAGAATGGTTGGGCAAAAAGTGTTCCTTTGTTCTGACGCTACTTCGCTACTATGCTACTATGAAATGACGAACTGGCCGGAAAAGCTTGGGTAATTTTGACAACCGATCAGGAGCGGGGGTCAACATTATCTCTTTTGCAACAAAACACAAAGAGTAAATTGATTCAAATCCATGGAATTTATGAATGCGTTCAAACAATTACATTTTACTCGTTACAAAGGGGCTTACATCTGTTTCAAAGGATTTACTCGAGTTAATCTGTTGCCGTATGAAGGTCTTGAAAGTTCTTATCTTCTTCGTCTTTCGAGTACGGAAGCTGGTAGAATGCTTCGGAGGAATGTGGAACAGACTTGCCCCACGATTAGGGTTTTATATTTTGTCTCCTTTTATTGGTAGACGCTGGTCGGGAAGATTTGGATGTGCCAACTGTACAATCAATACTTCACCCTTTCTTCTTGGAGAAGAAACGTCGTATCCAAATAGGTGCATGAGATGGTAAGCTCGGTGTCCGTGATGGATGAACATTCAGTAATTCTATAAGTGGCTAGTCTGCAAGTTGTCAGTGTTCATCATGGTCAGATATGTCGTGCCTGGTCCAAAACACACAGATCTAAACAATGAATAGATATTGTGTAGATGTGTATATACTTCATAATTACTCATTTCTCCAGCTATGTTCTTTAACAATGTGAGCGACGAACGAACGTGACTTATATCATAGATAGACAATGACTAGTAGATAGCTAGCCGTGGGTAACAAGACAAGCCAGCACGCTTCATCCGCAAGATGCCAATGGTCCGGACTATCAGACTGGATGGAAACCTCTAATGTTTACAAGGAGTGCGGTATTCCAACTGAAATCAACATTTCAAACCATTGGGATGTTCAAACTAGGTCGGAATCTTCAAGCTTCTCATCATCGGATTGCCGCCCAGACTGGTGGATTGCTCTTATTCTAGACACCTGTCGATCAAAAACAAGACATACACCATTTCCTTCGAATGAGTAGAATAGATTGGGATGCATATCGTTAAGAAGTGGGAGAAGACATAGAATATCACACATAGATTAGAACATGAGTATAGAACATCTATGTTTGAGCATTGGAAATACACATAAGCATCAGGGAAGGGGGAGGCTGCTGAAGTACAAGTTGTTCAGACATATCTACCTTGAACGCCTCTATTCAACTCGCAATAAAGAATTTGCAACGTATATGATATCCATCAATCGGTTAGTGGGCGAGGTTGTTCTTATCTCTCCATCTACTTTCTGCTCTTCTTCATGAGTTCTCACATCGAAGCATCCGCGAACGTTTCTTCGACTCTGGAGTACGTACTCCAGCCAGATGAAAGTCTGGCATACATTTCTGTAACGATTTTGACAAGTCTTAAATAATACAAGATGCATACCTATTATTACTTTCATTCAAGACATTTTTCATTACTTTGCATGAGTTAGCAGAGAAAGGTCGAGTCTCCGAGTTCACCGCCAACATAAGGGAAATTAAGATTTGAAAGAATGCGAACAGATTACAGTACGTATATAAATAATGCAAAATGATTTTTACTTCATGCTGTCAGCAAAAGTGTCCGTACCGCTACCATACCTACTTTTGCCCATCCGAAGTGAGAAATGAAAGTCTCACCAATTCTTACCTCTCACCCTCAGAAATGATGTTTGTTTTGTTGTGAATCCTCCAATCATCAATAATCATTGTACTAATCCTAATTCGGCCTGGGTTCTGCTTCCCCGTTAACCGGAATACCTCAAGACCTCGTAAACAATTGGAATCAACTTCTCAAAAAACATATCACGACAAAGGACGACAACGGCAGCGACTTGCTCTCCTTTCAATCGGTAAGTATCCATATCGCAGGATCGGATTGGCATCAGAGCATTAGAAGGTCCATAAAAGACCAGAATCAAGTCAAGAAAGGGTACACATCGCAGAATAAACAAAGCCCCAGCCACTTTTTCCGACCATTTTCTCCGACTCCACGAACAACAACCTCGCATGAGAATTATGGGTAAGTGATGATACTCTTCTCTACACATGACGCGCTACAATGCGCGAAATCTTCCAATGTGTGTCTATATTCTAACTTCTTTGGAACACTGAAGATCAACAACCACCCGGAGAAAAAAATCCTGTTAAACGATCGAGATCTAATACTTCCATGTCCGCTAAACCTCGTAAACGTCCTCAATCTCGAGCTTCCACAACGAGTGTTCATAGCGGACTTGCGCAACCGGTACTGGAGCAGCAATATATGGATCCGGCGCAGTGGTATGATAATAACTCCAATCCACAACACAACAATATTCCGCAATTGTCAGCCGAAGACATGGTTATGCATAGTGCTTCGCAGCTACAAAATCCCCGATCTTTTGACATGGAGCATTCTCTCAATGGCGTCTCGAATCACAATTTACAATCGTATCATTCGGAGGTGCAATATAGGCCTGAAAATGGACGCCAATCTATACCAATGGAGAACTACGCTCAAAATTATGGAGAGGGGGATAGCCAAGTTCTAGAAGGTCGCAGTGATGAGCAAGACGAGGTGGATTCCATAATCGGGGCAACTGGAGCGACAAAGAAAACCTCGAGATCGAGCGCTGCCAATGAGTTAGAGATGAGACAGTTATTTCACGCGAACAAACACCGCTCCTTACAAGACATTGCTGCGGAACTTCTCTTGAACGAAAGAGGACCACAATCGGAAAGACAGAGACAAGTATTTGCTATGCTCTGGTAGGTGCACCACATAATGAAGTTTTGAATCACGTTAACAAAGCCCTTTTAGGATCAACAAAGTCTGTGATAAAGGTACGGGGTCTGTACCGAGAGGTCGTGTTTACGCAAATTACGTTTCGAGATGCGGTACAGAAAAGGTAACAGTTTTGAATCCGGCATCTTTTGGAAAACTTGTTCGTGTACTTTTCCCAGGATTAAAGACTCGGCGGCTTGGTGTGCGCGGTGAATCTAAATATCACTACGTGAATTTCAGTCTCAGGGATGACCAGCCACAACTGCACGAGACCCAAACTCATCAACCTATTACAAACTTTAACGATGCAAATTTTGCTCAAAGTTTCAAGTATATTAATCTCTACCCTCTGTATTCACTCATCGCTAATTAATCAGTCAAAGTATGACATCGCAAATTCAATACCCGGACGTTAAATACCCAATTGATCGAGCTCCATTTCCGTCTCCCGCAATTGCTCAAGAACCTGAACAACGCAAGCAACGATCGGGAGGATTCATTAGACCTCATAGTCTCTACACCCACCCAGTAGTTGCGAAGCTTGCAGATCTCGAATGCACAACAAAGACACCTCAGGTTCTTCATTTTGCACCCTTAGGGGAACCTTCTATGCAAGAATATGGAGCTATTTTGCTTCCCAAGATCCAACCCTTTTTGCCCATTGGCACCGACTCAGATTCAGCACTTGCATTATCTGCGCTTTATCGTTCTCATTGCACTTCCCTCGTTGAACAAGTCCGTTTCTGCAAAGAGAAGACATTCTTCCATCTTTTTACGGCTTTTCAGGGCACTTTGACCATGCCTGTACAAAAGTTGTTTGCCGACAAAGCACTCGCACCGTGGATTAACCAGTGCGATATAATCATGTACCAAAGTATGATGCGCGTCGTGGCGCCTCTAACACTTCAAGTTGTGCCTAAAGTCGTTTTGGATACTTTACGCAATATCTCCGATCGTCTAGTTACACACATTCAAAACTCATTTCACGGCCAGCCAGCACATGTTATCGAAGCGAAAGTCGGGCCAGCTACAACTTTTGCAAGCCTTTTGGACAAAGAATTAAGAGTCAATCTAACTGCTCATGCTGCAGCGAACATGCTATCTAATCCCTACAATCGTGATACAATGTATGAGGACTTTATAACCATGGTCAACATAAGAAAGGTTGCGGAAAGTGTGCCTACGAGAGGAATGGATGACGTGGTAAATCTATTGATAACGGAATTACGTGATCTTCTTGATCCAAGCGAGGTGTCGTGGGAGACGGAAGGACAAACTCCTTTTGGAGAAATGGTTGCGCGTATGGGCCGTCAACGACAAGCGAGCGTCCATGCCGACCCGACCACAGAAAATGTTCTCGATCGTTGGGTGAATATGCTTCTCTCCCTACCTGGCAAATTTCCGTATGCTACACATGCAGAAATTGTTTGGTGTGTCCAAAAGATTGGCACAGCTGTGATGAGAGATCTTACCATTGCCCAAGGTAAAAGTTTTGGTGCTTGGTGGGTTACTAAATGTTGGCTAGACGAAATGATTGCATTCATGGCCGAACAAGGAGGGTTTATGCAGCGTGAAACCATTCAAGGTGCGATGGGCAACGTGCCTAGAAACCCCGCTGCAAGTCGGAGAAATAGCCAGCAAGATGGCCGATATAGTGGTGGAAGTGATGAATTTGCTGGGCGTGGAGTGAATGGTGAGCGAAGCGTTTCGGGTCCTCGACCAATGGACCTTGCAAGAGAGGCTGCTATGAATGCAGCTGCTGGTCATGATGATAGTGGGATTGGAATGAGGACACCCGACGATGAATTTTCTATGGGAAAATATGGATTCGGTCAAGATGAGGGGCACGCGTCGATGGAATCTAATTCTCTTCATGCTATGTCACAGGGAGCTTTGTCTTGAGTTCGAATAACACTCCAAATCTTGAGAATTGGGGTCAAATTTGCGGCGCAATGGATGGTCAAAGGGTTGGGGTTGGATAATGTGACAGGAAAGGATGATTTTTTTAACGACCAACGATTAAACGAATGGCTGTAGAATGGATGGATACCTGGTGTATATTTGGGATGGTCTTGATTATCTTACTCTGGCGATTTGAGTATTGTTCTCTATTTGGAATATTGACGGTTTTGGCTCCAAAAATCTTTGGAGTACTGGATTTGATGGCGTTTCCGTGCAAAGACTAGGATTATCTTTTTGTAATTATCAATAACGGGGAATAATGGTGAGAAGGAAGGAAGGGTATGAAAACTGGTTTCTATATATGATCTAATATTACTTGGCTTGAAGAAAGCCGTCGTAATAATGAATGTCCTTTCAATCAATTATATTGAGCATTGAAGTACAACTATTTCGAAAGTCTCAAAGTTCACACCTCCATTGACTTGGCGCATCTGAATATGAAACAGACTACCGATGTCTTGTCTAATGTTGAAAGATTTAGAAGCAATTCCTCATTCTTCTTCAAACAATGAAACATCGAGTCCTAACAAACGGTACTTGATAGGCTTTTTGTTGTGTTAATGAATGAAACATACCTAGATACCCTCTGCGACTACTCGAGTATTTTCTTTATGAAAAAGAATAACATCACGCAATATCTACCTGAGCATTATCTTTACTCCAACAAAGACTCAGACGAATATTTAGAATGCAACCAAAATCATTTGTTACCTAGGCATATATATTCGAATTTCGGACCAAAATTAACCTTTACCCCCCTTTTTCTATTTCTCCATCAAAATCTTATCGTGTTAGCTCCGATCTATTTTCCCTATAAGCTCGCTAATGATAAAGACTTGATTGAGGGAAGGAAGGAACTGACCGTTGACGTGATTGAACTGTGGTCCCGCATTGACTTGCTCCGATATCATGCCGATGCAGGTTCGAAAATAATTGTTTCTACTAATGAATTGAACGTATGTGCCTGGTATGACTCTTTTCAACTTCTTCAATGTTTCTTGAACTTTCCTACATTGCATCTTACATTTAACTTCAGATAGCTTAGTTAATGGTTTCAATTTTATAACTCATTTATCTTGCAGTCATCTATTTCAATCATTCACAGACAGTTTTGGACAATGACGACTGAAGTTCAGTGCAACGGGCATCCCGACGCTTCACCGTTAATATCCAATTCATTGAACCACAATGACAGTCACAGAAGCTGGGTAGTGCAAAAATTTGGTGGCACAAGTGTAGGCAAATTCGCTGTGAATATTGCGGAAGACATTGTTCGGTAGGTGGATTGTGGAACCTTGCCAATCATAGTGATTTGAAACTAATTGGGCATCCAGTGCAAGCTTAAAACATCATAGAATCGCAGTTGTCTGTTCCGCGAGAAGTACTGGGAAGAAGGTCGAGGGCACAACGAGTCGGTGAGGATTATCGAAATCACAAAGGATGGCGCATGCGAAGATATACTAATTCTGGCCTTTGCAGATTGTTGGAAATCCACAGTGTCCTTCAGTCTGTCAACTCTTTGAAAGACTCGGATTCAGAAAATTACAAGAGCTTAGTTAGCAAATACGAAAGACTGGTGGACGTTATCCGTGACGATCACATCGCAGCAGCGAGGTCACATATACAAGATGAGGCTATAGCCTCGAGGCTCGCAAAGGACATTGAAACGGAGTGTAAGGAGATACAGGAATATCGATTGGCTGTTGAACGATGGCATCTGGAAATTGATTCGAGATCAAAGGATCGCCTGGTCAGCTTTGGAGAGAAACTTAGCTGTAGATTTGTGGCAGCTTTATTACAAGACAGGGTAGGCTATATAAAGCATTCCAATTGCGCCGTGCTTACGATATATATTATAGGGAGTTGATGCCGAATACGTAGACCTCTCGGATGCTATCCATTTCAAGACCCCCAAGGGGATGAACTTAGAGTTCTACAGAGACGTGGCTGCGGCGATAAAAGAGAAAATCGACGCTTGCCAGGATAGAGTGCCAATTATTACTGGATATTTTGGAACCGTTCCAGGTGGTTTGATGGATGGAGAAATCGGAAGAGGATATACAGATCTTTGCGCAGCATTAGTGGCTGTGGGAGTTGCAGCAGAAGAATTGCAAGTATGGAAGGAAGTTGATGGTATATTTACTGCAGATCCCTCGAAAGTGCCAACCGCCCGACTTTTGTCCACTATAACACCATCCGAAGCAGCAGAGTTAACTTTTTACGGGTCCGAGGTCATCCATCATCTCACTATGGACCAAGTCATTCGAGCGACCCCACCGATCAAGATTCGGATCAAAAACGTTAAAAACCCACAGGGAAATGGCACAATCATTCTTCCCGATCCTATATTAGAACCTTCGCAGCACACCCATGCGAGAAGCCCAAGTCCTGTAAGTCTGAAGAAAACGCCTAAGCGCCCTACGGCTGTTACTATCAAGGACAAGATCTCCGTTATCAACGTACATTCGAATAAGAGATCGATTTCGCACGGATTCTTTGCAAAGGTATTTTCCATATTGGACAGTCGACAGATTTCTGTGGATCTTATTTCCACCAGTGAGGTTCATGTTTCCATGGCTGTTCATTCGGCGTATATCTCTGCAGAAGATATGCAGAGTACCAAAGCGGAGCTTCAAGAGTGCGGCGAAGTCAGCATCCTCAATGAAATGGCAATCCTCAGTCTAGTGGGATCGGAAATGAAAAATATGGTCGGAATTGCTGGCAAGATGTTTTCTACTCTTGGAGAAAATAACGTCAATATCGAAATGATATCTCAGGGTAAATTTAGAATCTCCGTCCCACATAGCGATTCGACAACTAACAAGCGACATTCAGGGGCGAGTGAGATCAACATATCTTGTGTCATAGACGCTTACGAAGCCACACGCGCGATGAACATATTGCATACAAATCTTTTCACATTTTTAGAATAGATCAAAACGGGAATTGGAAAAGGTAAGGGAGACGGCGTTCAAACTTTGATGGAATCGAGCATGGTGCATTGGCGGCATTTAAAATTTGGGGGATGGTTTGATGCACATATCCACAATGTGTATTTTTATATTTTCGCTGTATAAAACTTAAAACCTATTCATACCCTACTGCACATATCCTTTCAAAAGTTGGTTAGAAACTCGCTTCCCCAATCAGAACTTTTCCTACTCAGCCTAGGACCATCCTACTCATTCTGCAAGACACTGAAGCCGGGTATCTAATAAGCCATACTGTAACCTAAGACCTACAATAAGAGTATCCTGAGTGCAGGGAAGTGAGAACGTCGTTGTGCTTTCTGACCAAAAGCTCATGTGCCCTTTCCGGTGCATTCTAGTCCCGTTTCAAGTGAAGCACCCTGCATGATATTGTGTCGAGATATAGAAATGCTTGCCAAGTCCAGCCCCTATCTTCGAAATGGAGTTTGTCGCTTCATCGCCATCGTCCGGATCATGCATCTCGACCAAAGCATTATTAGGTGCAACTGCCATGCGACTGTTAAGTCTCTCTCCTGCCGGAAGATAATCGCCTTCAAGCACTACCCTTCAGACTGTCAGAACCAATGTTAGACAATATGATGTCACATGTGCGGGTACTTATATACCTGTTTTCGGCTCTCCTCACTGCGTGATATTATCTTCCTTCCGCTGGATGTAGCTGTCCGTACCATGCTAAGTGATTAACAAGCACTATACCTGATTAACTACGAAGTGGGTACTTCGAACGCTTTGGTCTAGTATTATCTGGTTCTGTCCCATCTCATATAGATAAATTACGCAATTCAAAATTGATGTATAACGAACGAAGCTGACAATTGCCAACTATCAGGAGGTCAAGATTATGAGCCTCATTTTAACACAGCTTTTCACCGATTACAGTGTAAGACGCTGGTCTTTATCATTCGGTACATGTCAGATGTAGCTCGATGTATCTCACCCATTCTGTCATTATTTCGTTTGTCAGGAATGGATTTAGGATATTCTTTCCTCATTCGATATTTCCCCACCTGTTCCTCTTCCAGAGTCAAGCTATTGTTGATCAAGAATCGCTTGTACACTTCGGATAATATCTGGTCCGATGTTCGATTTCAATTTAGCATCGTTGACTGCACATACTTCTTCAAACATCCGGAAGCAAGACCAGTAACGGCCAGCTCTCATCTTTATTTAATGAAGAAAACTTCCACGACATGACTTATGGTTGGCTCTCATCACGACTGAAGAGAAATAATCTTCTGCGAGTAAACCCTGGATAACGTGCTAAATGATTCACCATACAAACTCCGAATGCACACAGCATAAAATAACCCCCCATCTGCTGTACAACATAGCACATAGATGTATATCAATGCATGCATGAGTACAGATCGTATATCACGTCTAAGGGAAATCTGGCAAGGCTTGAAGTCAAATCGGTAGACTGATTACCTCTTTCTCTACAGAGTGTTACCCCGAAAAGAGTATGTATCCGTTTGTCAATGTTGCATCCGTGGGGCTTTTCTGCTTCTCCAACTCAAACTCCAATGCTGGACCTCTTCGATTACCTACTCATTCAGAAATTGCTAAGGAGGTCAAATAACTTACATCTTCTAAACCTTGATTGGGTGTAACTCGTCGACAATTTCATTTGCCTGCTTTGCATTGCTCGCAAACAATATCAAACGTTCGTAAATGACTCGAAAAAAAGAAAACACACTGACATTTACACTCCACAATCGTCCTCCCCAATTGAGCATCTGTTGACTAACCGAGGTTCATTGTGTAAGCAAATGATATCACGATTGCCAAATTGGCGATACGCATAAATGTGAAGCTATTGGCTAAAATCAAGCCGAACAATTCAGCCGAGAAATAGCTGCAGCTTTCACTGATCACTGCGGCCGGTATTGTATCACGAGGAGAAAACACTGCAGAAGTCGTTGCCATCATGACAACGGGAGTCTGAAAATTGGTTTGGATGAGGAAATGTGTATCAATAATCCAAGAAAGGTAAGTGATGCAAGATTCCTCGCACAACAGCGGTAAGAAATGATTGTTTGGTTGTCTCAGAATTTGTATCTCTAACCCTCAACCCAGCTAGAACCAGATTTAAATTTTTGAATGCAGACTTGAGCAATTTAACATTCCATGAATATTTGTTGAGTTGGATAACAACGAATGATAATTCCGGTCGTTATCAGACAGTCCTTGGATGATTGGTATCGGAAGCCTCAAAGTTGTCCTTTGACTGGCTCGGCATACGGTGGCTGATTTCATTTCCCGACATTCCTCGTAAAGTATCCAGTACATTTTCTGTGCCGCCCGGTAATTTTTCCTTCCAACGAAATTAAGTTTCTTGCAATATTCTGATCAGCTTCGCTGCTTCGGCAACTAGGAGTATTTGGAATATCATCTCTTGTAACATGAGAGAGAAATTCATGTTCCTAGTGGGCATTAGGCGAACTTATCTACGTCTGATCATGGCGATGCTAACAGCATTCTGTACAGATTACTTTTTAATGTATCAGATAATGTGGCTAACACCGAGCTGCTCCTCTCGGTAGTGTATCCCGAATTTGGCGGACTTGATTCCCAAGTGGGGTTCTTGTCCCGATATGAGAATAAATACATGGAGCGGGGTGCCACAGAGATACTGGGGGCGGAACGACAGAAGCTAAAAGGCTGCAGTCTTGCGGCCCATAATCATTGGACAATTTTGTTATAAAAGGCCTCGGAAGAATTAACCATAGATAAGGTGCGTTGGGTGGTGGGTGGCACGATTAGTTAAGCCTTTGAAAAACGTTGAGCCACCGATTGATCTGAAAGTTTGGATCCAGCTTGTTTGACGGATTTTATCATGCTACACGTTACACGCGGCTGCAGTGACTACCGGGCATGTGCCATCCATATGCTATTTCCGCCGTCTATACCTTTGCCTTCATCGTATTTTTACCTTTTCTTCCTTCGTTTTTGGATCTGTAGGTCTCAACGTTTGATCCGCGCTTTCAGTCGCAACCCGTTTTCCACAATCCCTCTCGATCATAATATGTATTCTAGACGTCCCTCGTATTAGATTCGTCACAGACCAACATCGTCATTCTCTTGAATCTTTATATCTTACGTTTCATGTCTATAGCGGATGAATGTTGGAGTAATCGGATTTATTACTTTTCGGGAATATTCCAAACGAATCAGAAAATTATATCAGTTCTACCTTTGTTAGGTTTGCCAGTAAAGTCGGACAATAACTGGACAATCGTGCCTGGTTGATCAACAATAGAAACTTAATTTTCACGATAAATTAGGGTCATGTATATAACATCGACCATATAGAAGATTTCCCATATCACACAAGACAATCTCTTCAAAGGACCCTCCTCTTTCATTGCATGATACACCATATATCTTTCCATCATGGGTTGGGTACGCATCACCTAGAATCTCTGAACATTCTAATGCTTATTAGACTTTAGGTGGAGAAGACGAATATGACCGTGGCGAAGAGCGCCGTTGGAAGACGATTCAGACTAGAATTTTCCGGGCATAGGTACGAGAGAAAAGGCTCTAGGTTTTTGACAGAAGTGAGAGCTGGTCTTGCCACGTTCTTTGCTATGGCATACATCATCTCAGTAAATTCATCGATCGTATCAGGTAAGTTTCCTACCTATACCTTGTTAACTCTCCTCACATCTTTCAAGCTACCGGAGGAACATGTGTATGCGATTACCCTCCTGGATCTACGGATCCCTTCTGCCTAGACAGTTCAACAGATCCCAGTTACCAGATATGTGTTCAGGAAGTCAACCAGGATTTAGTCACAGGCACGGCAGCGATATCTGCACTGACGAGTTTTTGCATGGGTGTTTTTGCAAATATGCCGATAGCGCTGGCCCCCGGAATGGGTTTAAATGCATATTTTGCTTATCAAGTTGTTGGAATACATGGACAAGGACCCGTCTCATATAGACTAGCATTGACAGCTGTATTCATCGAAGGATTACTCTTTGTTGCGCTCTCGATACTCGGGCTCAGACAATGGCTTGCTCGCGCAATACCTCGAAGCTTGAAGATAGCTAGCGGTGCAGGCATTGGACTTTATCTCGCTCTCATTGGACTTACTTATAGTGCGGGAATCGGTGCTATCACAGGTAGTAATGCCGATGTACCTCTTCAAGTAACTGGCTGTATACCCGAGCTTATTGCTCCAGATGGAACTTGCATATCTGGAAAGATGCGAAGTCCGACAATGTGGCTTGGCATCTTCGGTGGGGGAATGTTCACAGCGTTCCTCATGATGTACCGTGTCAAAGGTGCAGTCATAGCCGGGATTCTCCTCGTCTCTATCGTTTCGTGGCCGCGCAATACCTCCGTTACTTATTTCCCTCCTACGGTTTCTGGCGACGCGGCATTCGAGTTCTTTAAGAAAATCGTCACCTTTCATCCAATTTCGCGAGTGCTAGCTGTGCAAGATTGGAATATCACTGGAGCTGCGGCTGGACAATTCGCATCCGCACTCATCACTTTCCTTTACGTCGATATCCTTGATTGTACCGGAACGTTATATTCGATGGCTCGTTTCTGTGGAGCCATCGACGAAGATACGCAGGATTTTGAAGGTAGCGCCGTAGCCTATCTCGTCGACGCCTTTGGCATATCTCTTGGTTCCTTTGTGGGCTCACCTCCTGTCACTGCATTTATCGAATCGGGCGCTGGTATATCAGAAGGAGGCGTTACAGGACTCACAGCCGTCACCACCGGTTTCTGCTTCTTCATCAGTCTTTTCTTCGCGCCAATATTCGCTAGTATACCTCCTTGGGCAACAGGGTGTACTTTAATACTTGTCGGAGCGATGATGGCACGCGCGTGCACGGAGATTAATTGGCGGTACCTGGGAGATTCTATTCCGGCTTTTCTGACGCTGGCAATTATGCCCTTTACGTATTCGATCGCTTACGGACTCATTACTGGAATCGTTACATATACATTACTTAATACATCAGCATGGGTATTGGCGAAAATGTCAGGAGGAAGAATTATGCCACACGACTACGAGTTAAAAGATTACTGGACATATAAAGTTCGCGGTGGCTTATTGCCTGGTTGGGTACGCAGAGCCACAAGGGGAAAAAGAGATTTTTGGCGCGAGTGGGATTTTGATGCGGAGGTGGGGGATAAAGTTGAGAGTGTGGGGGGACATAAGACGAGGGGGAGTGTAGCGAAAAGTCACAACAGCTCGAAGAGTCATGATGTGCATGGGAGGCAAAAGGAAAATAGTGGAATGCCCAGTGTGAATATGAATGGGCATGGAGAGCGAACGTGGGAGATGCCCGAGATGGCGTTTCCGAAGAATGTTGCGGCAGGGATTGGGGAAGCGATCGGAGGAGAGGAGAGGAGGGAAAGTATGAGGACTATGAGTTCTGTTGGGAGGAGTCTGGGAAGGAGATCGTGAGTGGGAAGTTGAGGCTTGATAATGATGGATTGTTTGGGTTGGTAATGGCCAGTACTGGATAATTTCTGGGCTGGATTTAATTCACAATGATAAAAGGAGTTTCAAGATACCAACTGGGAATACGGATATGGATATGGATGGATGGATGGCGTAGATAGATTGGGTGATTATATTATTCATATTCCTCGAGGACTCGATCGAGAAAGGTCTAGAGGACTCATGAATGGTTCAGATGAATGAGGGGAAATTGGTTGTTACAATGCGACCCTCAAAAGATTTAATTACCCGCGAGAGAATAGGATCAGTCCGCAAGGCGCAACAAATACCTCCAGACAATGTTTCGCAGCTATCAACTCTGTAAACATCAAAAGAGACGTACATATCTACATATCACAGCCCTCCTCCTCAAACCCCATCTCCAACCCCTCACCCAAGTCCACATCCTCAAACCTATCCCTCGCATTCACCCAAGCCAACCTCATCTCACCTTCCAATATAATCCCCAACCCCTCCTCTTCCCACATCCAAGAAACAAAATATGCCATGCTGGTTCAGTGGTAACGCGCTGAATATGCACATGCCCGTAAAACGGCACCTCTGCTTAACAAGACTATAAAGTGATTGTCTTCTTGAAGAATCAGTTCGCCTGGTTTAAATTAAGGGGTCTCCAGGATTTGTTGCATAGAGCGTCCTTAATTTTTTGTCTTTTGTTTTTGTTTTTGGAGTGGTAGGGGATATTTTCTTCTGGGGGAAGTAATTGGGAGGGGGATGCGGGTGAGTGAGGTTATATTCACTTTTGGTGGGTGAGGTGGGTGGATGCGGGAAGATGAGATGGGATGAGATAGGGTGAGTTGAGATGAGATGTTTTTGTAGGAGAGAGGGAGCGTGCTATGGTGCAGTTGTAGTTGAGAGGAATGTAGAGCAGTAATGGAGTGGAAGATAGGGAGGGACCTTGTTCAAATACAAGATATATATCAAGAAGTCAGTCCAATATAATTTCACGCCTCGCTCTCACAACATGCGTGTAGAAGTTTAACCGCTTTGCGAAAACCATATCGAAGCCTCTGAAGCAGTCCCTGCAAACGACATGTATGGAGTCTACAAAGTGATCAAGTATCATATATTGAAGTCCATGAATTCAAGCATCTTTGCAGGAAATAGACAACAAGGCCAATGAAAAATGCACCAGAAATTTCAGATGGGCCTCAAATATTCCTATAATGACATAGGAAAAGTAGTAAACACAGTAATGAGTAGACATCGGTCGAAAGCAGAACTGTGACTACGATGTTCAACGCCTTGGAGGCGTTGGTACATGATGCATTTCTACACCCATCATTTCAACGTTGTCCGTTCGACATACCGTCAATCGATCAAAACTTACTATGGCTAGATCTCAGGCCCATGTAGTGACGAGACTTGAAGGTAAAGGCGCCATCTTACATTCAGCCTGATTATGAGGTTATTAAGGAGCGTCAGAGTATATCTAAATGTCGGACCCAATTTCACACATTGTCAGTACAATGAGGCACCTAAATTTTGAAGTTTATCCGTCCGTCTGAATGCAGAAATTAACATCTTTGTCAAAAAGAAAGGGGTTCGGTTTCACTGTATTTTGAGATTGTTGGAGCAAATATAATGTAAGAATGATGTTCATAACTTAAAGGTGTCGCTTGCATTAGAGGAAAAGACCAAAAACTCCTACCGATATGCCTTTCCTTCATATCATGACCAGCTGTGCGACCTCCCAATTGTGCATATACCGAAGCATGGATGCGATTCTTTACCCATTCCCATACCGAATTTAACCTTATGCCCTCGTCATTACTGTTCATAAATTCATTTCATTCATAAAAGCTCATCCATCCCCTCCTCTCCATAGTATCTCCCACTTACCCAATACAAACTTGGCCCGAGTGCAAGCAATTCAAAAAGTCAGCAAGGTAATATAAGCTAAATGAAGGAAGGTATCAATAACAGAGCATTTTCGTAAGAGTGGTATTCGCCATTCGATATCCCGTATAAAGATTCGCCCGGGCCGGCTAGTCGATTCCCCTCGCCTCTACCATCTAGATCAACGCTGTCAGTAGAGCCAGTAGAAGATTTTCGGCCTAGAGCTTTTGCCTCTTCGAGCTCCATCTCATGAAGTTTCTTCTTCTTCTCAATTTCTGGGTTTGGCTGAGGGATATCGTCGTTGCCAAGTAACAAGTGTCCGGGCACTGCCTCGAATTCTCCATCATCATCATCCCCTTCTCCCTCACTAGAATCATCACCGCTCATGATGGGACTATCAAGCTGTGCAGATCTAGGACTCTTCACAAGCATTTCCGGACTCTGAGGTCGAGAGTCAAACCCACTGGTGCAGCTTGTCGCTTCGCTCTTACCAGAATCTATCTTTTTGAGAGGTCGGCTACCTTCAAGGGTAAATGGCGTCAATGTGGGATCAAATTCCGCTGGTAAACCAAGAGCGGCTGCTACCGCGTGCGCTTCAATAAGAGGGCCAGTTGCGCTCTCGAGATTGCTTGCAACGATTGACGTTTCATGTCCGCTAACCCCACTCTCTTGTAGAATGCGGGTGTAACTTTGACGTGCAGGATCTGCATCTCGTTTTTGCTTCTTCTTTAACCTTTTATCCGTGGGTCTTACGACAACGACTGGTATGGGCGAATACTGCAAGCACCATTTTGAGAACGAGTTTCTGTTTCCCATCAAACCTTGGAACCCCCCAAGACTTCGCCCCCGAGTTCCAACGATGAGCATCGCAGGTTCGTAAATTTGGATCTGGACACCCGAATGGTTAGTAAGTGGCGTTAATTCTCTGCGAACATCAAACGGTCCAAACATACCATCTTTTGAAAGGTTGTATGGACTTTCCCTATGGCATACTCCAGTACAATACTGACAGCTTTATTATCATCGTTCTTCTTTTGTATCGCATCTAGTAGTTCTCTTGCATCCTGCTGATATTGCTTGATCTCCAGGGCTCTGTCAGTGATCAACTTCGAATCTTTATCAACAACCCTTAAACAGATGATTTGGTCTCCATCGTCGACGAGCTCTTCTAGCATCCACTGTAGAGCGATATCCGAGTAGGAGTTCTCGTCTATGCCGACCATAAAAGTCCTCGAGGATCGTTTGTATTGATATCCTTCATGTTTAGAGTTTTGAGTGTAGCTTCTAGTATTCCTCTCGGTGTCTTCTGATAACGATCCAATGCTATCGAATGAGACTTTTCCTTTAAACTTTCTGTTGTTCGGCGCCATTAGTGTCAGATTCATGTATCGCAAAGAAATATTGGGTAGTAATGTAATAAAGATCCAGATTAACCATAGAGAGCTTTCTTGCGCGATATAGAAACCAAGTGGGGTTAATCACCCGCCCCCAGATTTCGGCCGCTAGGATCCGGGAAGGAAAGCGTGGGACATTATAAAGTATACTTTTATTTGACGGTACGGCCCATTCCCACCTTCCCTTGAAACAAAACATCGTCGCACAAAGAATAAGGAAATGGGACACAACTTACGGTGGAGGAGGTGGACTCGAGCCCCTCAGACGAGGACGAGTCAGCGTCTTCTTTCCTTTACCACCCTTCCCGTCTTTCAAGGGCCGCGGACCTCTAGAACCCCCTCTGAAGGATATGCTCGACATCGAGTTTAGCCGTTGGTTAGGCGGATGATCATATTGGACATGTTCTGTGATAGATCTAAGCTTTGGAGAAGAAAAATAGTCCGAATTTGTTGGCGCAGAAATATTCGGTGAAAGGGGAGATTTTGGGGATGGCGAATCTGAGCTTCTAAAGTGCGGGGAAGTAGGTGCCGACATGGTAAGTTATTGTTCAATTATAAATTAGACATTTGGTCTATTTCAAGGCGACTTTATAGTAATTGTTGAATGCTTATGTCGAATGAGGTGAGCATAAGAACTTTGAGATTGTTGGTTTGAGATTTGTCAAAGTGGATGGATGAAGTGGTCCGTTCTAGGCTTCAGGCGAGAAACAGCGGTGTCGTACTAGGATTATTCAGATATTTATTATTCATGCCCAGATACTGAAGTTGAAAGATTCTGGTTAATCAAGTAAGGTATGGGTGATTCAACAATTATGTACCCATTTTGTTACGTTATTAGTAGTCTTTATGAGACATGCTGAATGCCAAGATAGTCGCGCCTTCCCTTTCAGCCTTGCGAGTTGCTTACGACAGGTACAGCTGTACGATAATAGTAAAATCATAGATTCTCTTTCACTCTGGAATAGCACAGCAACTTATACATAGACATGGGGTTTACTTCATAATTTATTTTGATCTACTTGTAAGGCTCCTCGCCTTCGTCCATTTTTGACAAGCCATTTCGTGGATTTGTCTTTTCCACCCCCCAGTACGCCATACCAATGCCATAGAGTTGAAAGCAATATTGTCAAGAGAGAAGCATGAAAGGTATTTTAGTATGTGCGAGCAAGGTTTCTGAGATACCAGTCTACCAATTTGCGGCCGACCTTTGCTTCAGAGATATGAATAAGATCCTGTAAAATTTATTAGCAATCTTGTATTTTGCATTGATTTTTTTCTCAAATAGACTTACTCCTTGCATAGCATAATCGAGATCGTTAGAGTTGACTACTTCTCCGTCCAACAATCCATTATCAGTCCATCTAATTTGTCTGCTGCGTTGCTTGTTGACCAATAACCATCCCCTCAACTTCTCAGGCTCAACCTCCAAGAATCCAGCCAACTTCTTTACATCCATGGTGGTATATAATCTGAGATAGGACTTCACAGTTGGGCTCCACATGTTCGTCTTAACCTCATCCATGAAGATAGATAGATGATGCTCGAGAGGGTCGACGTTCAATTCTGGGTTGTCGAAGTCAGGAGGAGTAGGAGAGATAAACTTGGGGCATGCAGAGCGGAATAGCTCCTCGAAGATTGGGAGGGATTCTGGTCCACCGCGTTGAAGTTTGAGGAGTTGGTCACCATACTTCTCGCGGAGAGCAGTGTGGATGGTATCATCGAGACGGGTTGGGTGGAAAGCCACACAGATGGCAATGAGGGCGTACATTTGATCGTTCTTCTTGGAGATTGAGTCATACTGGGCGTTCTTTTGGAAGTTCTTGGTTCTTGAAACGTAGATCAAGATGTGGCTGAACATGCGGATGGCATCTGCGTATCTGCGCATCATCATGTATGAGAATCCTACATAGTAATAGGTAGTGAAATGAGCGGCCATAACGCGCGCAAACATAGCCTTCTTGTTAAGCTCGATATCGTCAAGTGTCTTCAATGCGAGACTGAAATCACCGAGGAGACAATGAACTCGCAATAATCCAATGATGGAGAAGTATCCGAGCATTCTGTACAAGGACTTCGAACCATAATCACCGGCGACAGCCATAGGCTCTTCATTGCGCTTCATGGCAGCTAGTTGCTCGTTGATCTGCGATCTCTGAATGAGAGAGTATAAAACGTTCAAAACACTGTAACATCCCCATGTGTTTGGCGCCTCGCGGAGGATTTGGATTTCTTCTTCATTTGTACCTTGACGTGCGACACGATTTCTGTACGAGCAGAAAGAGTTGAACTGGTAGATGAACTCGTCGATAACATCCCAAGCCCAGTAGTACTGTAGCTATAATTAGCGTCCCATGCGAGTCTGTCGATACACGAACAAAGAACTTACCGATGGTGGTTCGAGGTCAACTGGCCCGTCAGAGTTCAAAATGAAGTGAAACAAACTACAATAATTATCATAGCTTGCAAACTTGACTTCCAAAGGAGCAGAAAAGTCCAAGGGTTGTGCAGCAGCAGCAAGTCTCGACTGAATATCATCGGTCTGTTGTGCCATGCTCATCGAGTTGACCTGCTCCAACTCTTCCATGCCTTCATATTGAACCTGTTCTTTATAGTCGTTGGCAAGAGCCTCCTCCTCAATATCGGAGTCATCGTCCAAGGCTCGCGATGCGATGCCGCCGTTTTGAAAGGCGCTCATGATGCTGTAATTTTGCTCGGAGTCGTCGTCGAAGCAGAGTAAAAATTTAAACCCCACCACCAAAGGATTCAAAATCGAGGTTCGGTTATCGCACTAGGACACTAGGGCTAGTTAAAACGAATCTATGTCCCTAAATATTCAGCACTATTTTTCACTCTACTAGCTTCTAATGATTGTATTTCCTTGCCGATTTTGGAAATTGATATAATTGTTTAACTATTTGCCATATCTAAAAAAAATTATCTGGGAAGGCTTTCAAGCACCTGTTGTTGCAAATTGAAGGGATTTTGTTGAGTTGACGGATTAACTTGAATTTTATGGTCACGTGTAGCTTGCTATATTGAATTCATCTCTTTGTGTGGAAATGGAAAATAAGTCGCAGACATTGCTTTTTTCCCTAGATCAGCGTTTAAGCTCGAGAGAATGTTTGATTGTCATATTGTAATGAAACATTAGAAAGCTCTTACTGCTAGATCTGAAGTGAGCATGAAGTGGGCGTTGAAAAATGTTATGAAGCCCATTCAGACATATTTCATTAATTTCTTCCATCGGAATGACTTGCTCCATAGGGACACCAAGAATTCTGAATACAAACAGTTTTTGAAGCAGTCTTTGATATGTTTGTGATCGTGGTTCATTACTAAATAGATTGGTAGGAGACAAGGAATATTACTTCTAGTCTCAGGATTCAAATCATATATGTGTAAGTGATTGCTTCATATCCCTGTGAGAGCAAGTACTTCTAGATTTCAGGCAACTGCTTGCAATGATTCATACATTGATCGAATCATATCATGGTAATGCATCTTGTTTCTCAATACTACTCACTGTGGGAATCATGGAAACCAATCTACCTAATTTTCGCTTGCCTCGCTGAAATGCTCCTTTATCGGTACAAACCCACCATATTACTTCGTCACCTTCGTATCATGCGTGATATTTTTCATCCTACTGCATATACTCAACCAAAAGACTTCTGGCCTCAGAATTCAATCTTTCGTTGACGTAACCTGAAATTGCTCTATCGTGTCGTTGATTTGCTTCCCTCAAATATGATCCCACCCAAAGCTTTACATCCGTGATCTCTGGCCATTCGTCAACTGCAACCTTCTTGCAAGTATTGAGTTGTGTAAAGCCAACTCCGAAACTTAGGTCGTCGACATCTGCTTCAGCCACTACATCATCGGTTGTGACAGGTAGTGGTGGGTTCTCCAACAACTTGAGGAGAGCCTCACAAGTCTTAGACCAACCTTTCTTATATCTGACAGCAAATGCTTGCGAATCGGTCAGGGTCTTAGTCAAAGAGATGACGGCTATTTTGCGGTCTAGTGGCCGAGGGAATTGCTGGGTAATTGGGAGAATAATGGTCAAGTAAAGAGGCACGAATACGGTGTCTTGTACAGCATCTGATTGCTTTATAAAGAAATCTGCTCCAAGGCCTTGTTGATCCTTAGATGAGATGAGATGGTAGAAACGGACAAAGCGACGCTTAAAGGCTTCAGGAGGGTTGCTGTTAAGGCGTGTGAACATGATGTTTAAGATCGTAGGGAAATATTGTTCAATGGCAGAGCTATCACATGTTAGAACAGAAACAATTGGTATGTTAGGAAGGGAACTAGAGTTGCTTACACATTGCACGAAATAATCAAAGCTTCTAAAACATCAAAACTTTGCAGCTCAGTTCTTGATTTTCCGGCCATAAGCTTCTGGAAAATGCCAAGTATTGGTTCGAGTTGGTTATTCGCTACAAGCTCAGCAGCGCACTTAGGAATCATTGCGGAAAGCAATCTAGTCAGGGCTGGTACGTTTCCTCGAGATTCCCAAAGAGTAGGGCTTAGAATTGGGGCAATCAAGTTTCTGTAGTAGTCGGAAAGTGTCGTAGACGGGTTGGCTTCCAGCAGAGCGGCAAATAATTGGAAAACATAGGGCATGAATTCTTGACGATTGTTAGTGCATGACCATTTTTGAATGGATATTGAGCATACCTTGAACATCACTTGAGAGAATTCCAGCAAAGGTAGGATACAGATCATTCTCAAGTTTGTCGGGTTGTGAAGGCGCCGACCATCTTTTTCAAGTTAGCAATGAAACGTGCACAGAATTTGTGAACATACCTGATCAAAGCACCAAAGGCTTCGAAGTGATAGTAGTAGAAGCGTGGGTTACTAGGGTTTTGGCCGATTACTTGAGTGATCTTGATCAAGTGCTGCAAAACATTATCTGCTATTGGAATAACGCCGTCCTTAATGACAATGAGCACTCTCATAACACAGCGCATGAGGAACTCATTCTCCTGAATTTTCTCGGGTGCGGCATCTTTCTCGATCAAATGGAACAAGTGATTTAGAAGACTCTCGGCGAGTGGCAATACATCCTCCTTCCCAAAAATATGCTGATTTGCATCGTTTGTGAGAAACAAAACTCTTTCCACAGTAATTGCGGCGTAAGTGTATACCACATAGTTCGAGGAACCCAGGTTCTTGACCAGGGGTTCGAATGCCGCTTTCCATTGATCTTTGGTCAATTGGCTACGGAAAGTATAAAGGAATTTAATAGCATCAACCTTCAAGATTGGCTCAACGTTGCTTTCCGCAAGAAGATCATTCGCAACATTCTGCTGGAAAAAGTCGACAACATTCACCAAGGGGTTTGTGGTTTTGACTCCTTGTCCTGTTGTGATGACACCCTTAGCCGCGATTGCCGAAAACAAATATACGGCGGTATCTTTAGATTTCCAATGATCGCTACCGTTTTGGGAGAATTGGTCAAGATAATGCTTGATATATCTCCCAACAACATCTGTCACAAGTGGCTCGAACTTCTCTAGAAGCTTGCGCAAG